TGTCTCCAGTCAGATCAGGCTACATACAGGAACCAGATGCAGCCCAGACGGGTATCGGTCACAGACTTTCCCAGTCTTCAACTGGCTAGGGGTTCTGGCTCTCTCCGCGGGTTTCAGCTGGGAACCATGGCAGTGTGGGTGAGCACAGACTCGAGCCCAGGTGTCTAGCTGCTCCTGGAACACTGGCTGTCGCTGCACCGGGCGCGTGGAGCTGAGGGTTTGTTCGCCCTGCCCGCAGCCAGAGAAGTTCCTGGGGCTTGGGCAGTGGGGTCCTGATGCAAGCGCTGCCCTCCAGGAGTAGCTGGGAAATACCTGGCTCTCTCCGCGGGTTTCAGCTGGGAACCGTGGTGGTGTGGGTGAGCACAGACTCGAGCCCAGGTGTCTAGCCCCTCCTGGAACACTGGCTCTCGCTGCGCAGGGCGCGTGGGGCTGAGGGTTTGTTCACCCTGCCTGGCTCTCTCCGCACGTTTCAGCTGGGAACCGTGGCGGTGTGGGTGAGCACAGACTCGAGCCCAGGTGTCTAGCCGCTCCTGGAACACTGGCTCTCGCTGCGCAGGGCGCGTGGGGCTGAGGGTTTGTTCACCCCACCCGCAGCCAGAGAAGTCCCTTGAGAATATTTTGGAGTGCTGGTTTGGGAGGTATGAATTTCTTTAAATGGTCTTTATCGTGAAAGTATCTTTTTTCTTTCATCAGTTCTGGAAAATCATTTTTGAGGATATATCATGTGGGGCTAGAAATTCTTTTCTTTAAGTGCTTGAGAAACTTTATTCCAAGGTCTTCTGGATGCTGTAATTCTAATGGGTTTTACTTTATAACTGATTTGTTGATTTTTTTTCTCATCACTTTTAAGATTTTATTCTTGTGTTGGACTCAAGATATTTTGACTATAGTGTGTCATGGGGAAATATTTTTATGACTGTGATAGTTTGGGTTTCATTATGACTCATTTATCTGTATGTTAAATTCTGTTTCCTTATTTGCAATGTTTCTGGTATTATTTTAGAAAACAGGGTTTTTATGTCATTCATGAGGTCTTCTAATATTTCCCTAATTCAACTTTATCTAGACTTCTCTTATTTGTGTCATGTAGCAGCTCTTGGATCTATTTTTCATGTTCTCTTGTTTAAAACGTATCATTCATTCATTAATTGGTCAGGGATGACAGCACTTTCTTCTAGTTCTCACACTGTTTCCCCCCCCCCCCATTGGCTACTTTTGTTGCCCACAAATTTAATAAAAGTTTTAATCTTCTGAAATTCCTATTGGAGCCTTTTTATGGACTCTGATTCTTTTTTATATTCGTCATGCATATATCACATCATTTTGTTTAACTCTTCTACCTTTTCTCTAGTGTCATTTATAGATTCACCCATTACTTTGTTTATTTGACCCAGGATCTTATATCTACTATGAATTTGCCAAATGTCTCATTGCTGTGTTTTATTATCTCCCCCGGTATCATTTTGAATAATTTGGGTGGCATTTGTTCTTTCCATTCTTCAATGCTTCAAGGGTCAGCTTTGAGGAAGTTGGGATGTTGCTGGAGACATTTTATTGGTTTGTCTTCTCATGTTTCTTTTTTTTTAATTTGTTTCTTTTTTGTGTTCAGGAATGCAGCAAGGGTGTATTGGAAAGATACACTCTTTAATGTCTAGCAGGTCTACTAACATCTACTAGCTCAATAATTTAATGTCTACTACCACTTTATTTGATGTCTACTTTTATTTGTGTCCTCTGAGCATGGGTACCTCCTGTTCTTTACCTCTGTGCCAGGATCCAATAACTTCCATTTTCCTGAGGTTGGAGTTTGCAACATATTTAGCCTAGTACCTTGGTTTTTAGGACTACATCACAGTTTTGTCAATGATTGCAAAGCAATCCAGATGTTGACATTCCCAAAAAAGTAATTAAAAGCATTGTGTATATCGCCTAGAGTATGGTAATAAAATTAGCATCAGTATAAACTCAATACTGACAAAATGTAAAGACCAAAAAGTACTTCCTTTAGCCATAGAAAATGATGCATAATAATTGCATGAAGGTGAAGACCAACTAAATGTTTATTTGCTATAGGCTTAGAGAAATTAAAATATCTAATGAATGGAAATTTGACTGTACTAGCAATAGAACACTGTACAACAGCAACAGCATAAGATTAACTAGCTGCGTAGAAATTTATAAAGCTTGATAATTATACTAATAAAGGTAGATGGTGTGGGAAATCAGAGAATGAAATATCAAAATTTTCAATATTAAAAGTTTGAGTTTTTATATATTCTAGAAATTAGTACTTTGAGGAACATCCAACAAAATCTTTCCCCACTCTGTGATTTGTCTCTTCACTCTGTTGGTGATTCCTTTTGCTGTGCCAAAGCTTTTTTAAGATGTGAGGTCCCAGTTATTGGTCCTTTGTAGTACTTCCCATTCAATCAGTGTTTTGTTTATAAAGTCTTGCCTGTACCTATGTCTTCAAAAGTTCTACCCACCCTCTCCTCCAGGAGATTTAGTGTTTCTGTATTAATATTTATAACTTCTATCCATTTTGATTTTAGTTTAGTGCACGGTGGGAGATATGGATCTAGTTTTATTCTGCAGCATGTGGCAAGCCACTTTTTCCAGTGAGATTTAATGAAAAGGCTATCTTTTTATTCAGTGAAGATATTTGGCTCCTTTGTTGAAAATAAGGTGACTGAGTGTGTTTGCAGTTGTTTCTGCATTTTTTCATTTGTTCCATTGATTCTCAAGTGTGGTTTTTGATTTTTGTCAGTACCGTGTTGTTTTTATCATAGTGGCTTTGTAGTATGATTTCAACTCAGAGACAGTGATGCCACCTGCCTTCTGGAGAATATTTAAAGAATTCATAATAATCATACTTCCCTAATTAAAAGACTCAATCTAGAAATGTGCATCTAAAATAAATATACTCTTGAAATTGTTTACCTGTTACAAGTCAAGACATCTCTTCCAGTTATTTTTGTATAAAGTGCTGCATTACACATCTTTCAAAAAAAATTCAGCTAAGTTGATTATTGCAGTTTTCTAGTAATAGAATTATTAATATAGTTGCATGTAATACATTTTAGTTTTAAAAGTATCAGAAGTAGTTGTGTTCTTCAATATGAATGCTAGTAAGTTCTTTCAGCTTTCTTTATCTCTTGTTCAATCTGTGTAACGCTTTGCCATTTTTGATTATTTTTAAAGAACTAGCTTTTAGCTTCATTGACTTTCTTAATGTTTATTATTTATTTAATTACTTTAAAGTCTAATACTCTCTTCTTTCTGCTTTTAGGTTTATGTTCCTGTTATTTTCTTAGTGACACATGATGCAGGGTTTGAATATTCCTTGGCAACTTGTACCAAAATGTTTGGTATATATTTCGCTCTGAGCACTGTTTATGCTCAGTCTATGAAGTGGGGTCTACTGTGCCTTCATTTTTACTTACTGCAATAAAATTGCTACTTGACCCTTAGAGTTCCTTTTCTTTTACATGGGTTGAATTCTTTATTTTTATAATTTCAAATTTTTATTACGTATTTTATGATGCAATATATATAGAGAAAATTTCATTTTAATCCTTTTTACTTACAATTTCTTCACCTCCCTCTCATCTCCTCCACATCCATGTTCAGATTCCCTTACCTTCCCCACATTTACTATGCTCTTTAAATTATTGGAATTCTCCTTTCACCCACTACTTATGTTGGAGGGTATACTTTGCAAATATTACTTTGAAATACTTGTGAGATCCAATATTTTATTTCTGTTCTTGAGCTGTGCCTTCCTTCAAAGGTACACAGTTGAAGAACATGTGCTGTATTGGTTCTGTTCTTATCACTTGTTGTTGAATGATATATACACTTAAATCACCAGAATATGGTCTGGTTTACCCAAATGCTTGTCACAGCTCACATTAGGACAAATTTTCAGGAAATTTAATCGAGCTTCTTTGGTCACTCTAAAGTTACAGAGAGGGCCAGCAATCTCAGTAGGATGGTGACTCTCTGTGTGATGTACCCCAGCTAAATAAGTGTCTTAGAGCATCCCAAGCAAAAGTCACAGAAGAAGTGGATTCTGATTGACACTAATGCCCTTTATTCTTCTGATTATTTCAGAAGAGTAATTAAAGCAAGTACATTTTGAATTTTCATTCAAGGCTTTTTTTCCTTTCCATTTCAGCTCTGTTTTCATTCCTTATCCCAGTGTTTGAGGTGTTCAATATATCCGTGTTTGCAAAAGAGCCTATACAATTTTTTGAAAACTTTGTAAGAAGAATAAGAGAAAATCGCCAGGACAATAACCAGAAGGTAAAATGTAGTGGTGGTAAAATAAGCATTTTGACATTTAGTAATGTTTTTAGGATGTATGATCATGATCAGTGTACTTGCTTCTGTTTCTGTTGAAAGTAAGTGCAAATGACCTGCATTTCTTGTGTGTGGTAGTGAAGAATATGAAGTTTAGGAATTCACAGAAACAGTTTAGCATTGAAAAGAAAACATAAGTGTCCTCTGACATACATTTTTTTATTTTCAAAATAAAAGAACAAAAACACGTTAACAAAGAGACATCCATTTACAAAATAGCACAAGAACAATACAAGCAATACTGAAATACAGACAAGGTGATAGGAAATTAACAATGAATATTGTATTACATATTGATATCTTCAAAGTGGTAACTCAGGAAAACAAATATAGACATGCAAGATTGATCAAATAATTAATCATTAACTGTTCCTTTCAATAAAGTGATAGTACAACTTGACATTCATATTCTTAAAATAAGCATTTAGCTCTTTGTTTCAATAAACTGTCAAAAGAAAAATATTAGTGCTTACCAATTATATGTACTGATACTACAATCCCCAGATCTTATATTGGCAAAAAATTCTTTCAAATCCAAGCCACTTATTAAACACATTGTCCAATGGAAATCCCTATTACTGCAGTTTGGTCTGTGTTAAATTTGCACCTTTCCTGGCCTGCAGTACTCAAGGTTCTCCCCTGGGTTTGGGGGTAGTAAGCTGAGAAATTCACTTGAGTCTTTATGTGGTCTGCGAGCCTGAAAATAAGAAAAGCAGAACTGCACATGTATCAGGTGTTACTGAGAATTGTATAGCATTCCAAAATGGTATGATGCTTCGGGATGGTTGTCTCTGCTTCTGAGATCAATATATAGCAAGTGATTAATCTATGGGTCCACTGGTGAAGAATTAAACGGGACTATATGAAGTTTTGAAATGTGGCATTGTTTCCAAGCAAGAGTATGTTCCAGGGGCAGCAGGCAACTTTCTGACCAGGAAGTTGTGTTCAGGAAAAAAAACAGAAGCTCAGGATCGGGGAGAATAGTTACAAAGTACTGTTGGATACAATAGCTGGTTTTCATACAAAGAAAAGATTTAGAGAGTGAGGCAACCTCAGCCAAACTTCAGGACCTGAAGAATACATATGCAAAGAAGGTAAAGTCCTGAGTTACTTTTAACTTCTGCGTTGGTCTGTCTTTCAATATTTTCTTTTATCTTCAAGCACCGAGTGGATATTCTTCAGTTGATGATCAATTCTCAGAATTTCCAAGAAACGGAGTCCTATAAAGGTAACTAACAATATTTTGTGGTCTATGGAAAAGGAAGCTGAGAGGAAGCAAAAGCCTGTCCTGGAATTATGTAGGAAAGACTACAGGCAGAGCAGCATTGCTCTCAATGGACCAAAAACGCACATATGAATATTACCTATGAGAGCAGACCTACTTTGTAGTAAGCACAGGGTTAAGTATATTCGAACATTAAAGGGCAACTATAAGCTCTCATTTCATGGGTGGAATTCATGAAGGTCTTGGTTCACCTACATCTGAACAAGTGCTGATTCTCAACCTTACCCACATTCAGTAAATCAGAATGGCTCCCTTGAAATTTGCATTTAGACACCCAATCAGAGGCACACGGTTTAGAAGGTCGTTATGCTCAATAGGAGTATTTGGTGAGATAGTTCTCCTGGACAGGCTAGCATAAAGATTTATTTTTGTTTTTGTTCCAAATGAGAGGGTTCTTGGAGAAATCTTTACGATTGTGGAAATATTCCCTTCTTCATACTTTGTTTGACACACTGGTATTTTCATTCACAAATGGTTTTTGTCTAAGAACATTATAGTGAAAATTGTGAAAAATGATTACTTCTAAGTTCCATCATTTCTTCTATGTTCACATAACAATACTCAATGTAAGGGGACTCTTCAATTCTTCCCCTTATATTTAAGTATATTTACTCACTTATTTGTATCAGTGTGATCTGACATACTCCGAAAGACTCACTTTTTCTCATGTTTTTGTTGTTTAGATTTACGAAGACTTTTTTTCTAAAAGTCCTTTTAAGTAGTCTACTGGGTACTCTGGGCATGTTAACCAATTTTTTCTTTTTTTATGTTAAAGAGAAAAAACAATGAAATAACAATCAAGACAAAAACAAAATAAAACAAAAACAGTAAAAATGATACAGGATTTTAAAACAAGATGGTAGGAATTAACAATCATTGTTATATTACATATTATCATCTTTAATGAAGTTGCTCAGATTACCAGATGCAAGATTGATCAAACAATTAAAAACAATAACAAATAATTAGAAAATTAGAAATGATAGAGTTTCATTAAACAAGATGATAGGAATTTAACAATTGCCATTATATTGCATATGGTTGTCTTCAAACTAGTTGTTCTGATTACCAGATATAAGCATGCAAAATTGGTAAGAAAACTTAGGTCAATTTTTAAAAGCAGTGTTCATTTCTTAAGGCTATTACTGAGAAAGTGTACAACTTTCTCATATACTTTCAAAACTATTTACACATTCACTCTGCTGTTTCCACATCCCCTGCCTGACTGGCACATGTGTTAGAGGCAGTTAGCCTTTAGTGTGATACTATCACCACTGCCCATAGTTTACATTAGGGTTCTTTCTCAGTCTTGTATGTTCTATACATTTGACAAATGTATAATGACACATATCCCCCTAAATTATTGTAGCAACCAGAAAATTGTGTGTTTGTTTTTAGCGTCATTTTCTGCATAATATCTTGCTGGCTGTTGGCAGATATTCCAGGTTTCCTTTCTATTATCCCAGAGAGTGCTGGTATCAGCCATTTTCCTAAGGATATCTACTAGCTTGTAGCAAGAAATGGAAGTTAGAATCCAAAATATTGAGCAGTGTAGTGATATCTACTGGAATTTTGGTTTGCTTTTACATTCTAGGTGGAAAAAGCTAAAAAAGTAAAAAATATTTGCAAAGAACTGAGTATTTTTATGACTCACCATATACAGTGATATAAGATGCCCCTCTCATACATTTTCTCTCTTTCTCTCCCATCCTCACATTGAATAATTCTGATGAATCACTTATTTCTTTGGTATAATTACAATAATTCTATCATAGTCAATTTCAAGCTACCAGTAGTGTGAAGATGCTAACAAAAGTCCCAAATTCTTAGCAATGAGTTCTAAAGCAGAGGTAATCTGACCATAGCACAGAATTCTGTGTATATAAATATGTGTGTCTGATTCTATCCATCGTTCTTTGCAACAATCACTCTCTGTCTCTCTCTGTCTCCCTCTGTTTCTGTCTCTGTCTCTGAGTCTGTCTCTGTGTCTGTCTCTGTGCTTGTTTGTTTTTCTCTCTCTCTCTGTCTGCCCTTGTGGTTTATCAAAACCACTGGTGAAGGAAATATTCTTTTCATCATATTCAAAATAATTGCTAAATAATTCTACTATTGGCCTTTTGCTGGTGTCATTGAAGTAATGAACTCTAATATATAATTTTAATGTATTTCAATTTCAATTTAATTAACCATGTGGCTGTACACAACCACAGTGCACAGCAGTACTAAGAATTTTGAGTGAACAATTCACTTTCAATTCAGGAACACAGGTTTGTGCCACCTGGGAGGACCTATTTGATTTGTTGGGTTTTTCTACAGTAGCAGCAAAGAAGGCATCATTGGAAATCAGAACTGGGCAAACCCTTCAAAGATGTATTTTATATTGTCTTTACTTTTTCAAACTATGAATGGGGAGGCCAACATATTTCTTTCAGGGTTCCAGGCATAAAAAGGGACTAAACAATCAGACTATTTCATGATGGTAGTGATCTATGTCATGACAAAATCAAAATGGGGGCCAACATCTTATCGTAAGGGGGTTGAGTGGTATGAAATTAGAGAGATAGTGGAGGTAATTTAAATAAATGTTGCTAATGTCACACAGTGGTTGCCATTTTCATACATGTCATGCCCAAATCCTTTTATCCACACTTTCTTCTTCCTACTATTTTAATGCCATTCATTACACTGGGGTCAATCATTACTGCATTGTACACTAATCTATTGTTAAGGTGGTTGCCTGTAGTACTACATTAAATCCTGTCTCATCAAGACTGTAGCTCAAAACAACACATTTTAAAAGGTCCATTTTTTATTTTCCTATTTCTAGGATGGGATTTTAGCTTTGGCAAGTCTAATGAGCTTGCAGATGTTTCTGGCCATAGATTACACTTTGAGATGCAGGAATTTCTTCGTAGCCTAATATTGTTCTCTTGAGGTCTCTCACACATGATTAAGATCTTTTAATTCTACATGCAGTGAAGTCTTAATTGGACAAACACTTGAGAATTTTCCAGCCATATTTGACAAAATTTTTACTTTTTTCTTGTTGAAAAATCCCATATTTTATTCAAGGCTAATTATGATAATCCAAGGTATATTGTAATAGTAAGTGTGTTAGACTGAAACACCATGTCTTGAAATTACCCAGCTGTGTGGTGAACCCAATGGCATAATGGGAAACAGATGGCAAGGAGTAGAATCAAACTGGAACAGGTGGATTAAAATCATTTTGTCTTTTTTCTGGTTTGTAAGACACACCTCGGAGTGAAATCCATTCACTGTGTGACTCTAAATTCCTTTTCCAAGTTTCTCCCTAGGGTCTTGGTAGCTTCATATAGACTTCTTGCCATCTAAACTAGGAAGATCTACTTTACCTGAAAGTCTTTCCTCTTCTTTCAGCTCTTTCTGATGGAGAGATTGCAGCCCATTCAATTGTTTTTATTTTTGCTGATTATGAGACCACTAGCAGTGCTCTTTCCTTCATTATGTGTGAATTGGCCACTCACCTGGATGTGCAGAAGAAACTGCAGCAGGAGATTGATGCAGCCTTGCCCAATAAGGTGAGTAGCTGATAATTTGAAAGGGAGGGAAAACATGAAAACTTAAGTAGAAGCCCTGCTCAACATTGCCTAGGTGAAATTTTCACAGAAAAATGTGGACATTGATTTTTTTTTTACCAGCATCATTTATGATAAATCGAAAGAGACAAACAAAGGGAAAAACATAGGAGATGTATGTTACTCACTGAAATATAAGTTCTCATAAACCACTGCTCCTGTTGGTGTATACATTATCTACAGTAACAATGGTGTTAACTAAATACATTAAAACCTTGGTTTGTAAAAATAGTTCATTGTGGAAACATGCTTGTGATCCAAGAACTTGAATATCGTAGTGAATTTCTCCATAAGAAATAAAATTCACATGATTCTTTCTACAACTCAAAAATATTTATATGAAGTAATTACAATACTAAGACATAATCCATAATAAAAATATAAAGAACCATAATGAATTAACTTGTGCTTCCCTTTGAAAACCTTCATAGCTGGTATGAGGGAGCCAAGAATGACAAGGATTATTGTATATGCTGATTTTCACTATCTTTAAAAGAATTGCTCCTACCTATTGGCTCAATAGAATTTTTTCTCTTGCTCCTTTAACAAGGAAGCTAACTGATACTTCCTTTGACTCCTTTTGAATATTTTGTAGAATTATTAGATTGCATTGCCATTAAACAAAATCATCACTTACACTACTACTATTCATGTGTCATTTTTCTACACAATTTTCACAGTTCCTAACATTTTACACATCTCACTAATATAATTTTAAGTGAGGGATTCCTCCCTGTTTTTCTCCTCCTCCCTTGCACACAAGATCTTCTCTATAACCTATTGCTGTTGCCAGATGATCACCCACAATTCTACATCTGTGTGTGTGTGTGTTTGTGATCGTGTGACATTTGGCATCACATACTACTTGTATTGCAAGACGTGGCTAATTTATCAAGTTAACACTTAGTAGAAATATTTGCTTGTCTTGGTGAACACTCACAGAACAAGTTACTCATGATGTAAAGTTTTACTGTACATCCAAGAAAAGTTCGTATCACGTGATCATGACCATCTATCACTCAGGTTCTGGATAAATAGCTCTGCTGATATTGTTTTATGTGCTATATCGTGACTGTTGGTTGAATGCAACTCGCTTTGGCTCAGCTAAGCATACTAACACAGATTTGTCTACATATCCTCCCACCTCAGTCCTGGAGCTATAAATGAAGGATCCAAGGAATAACTGAAGACATGTGGCTCCTGAGCCAAATTACTATCTTCTAATTATAGCTTCTCCAGTGTCACATGAAGTGATAACCACACTATCCCATGTTGTTCTCTGATGCCTCCTCAAACTACTAGGCTATGTGATGTTACCTGTGATGAGACATTCTTTTGCCCACTTAGCAATGAGATGGACATGAAGAGTCTTCTTCAGAGCTCAGAGTGAAGACCTGAGGCACCAACATCAATTATAGTCCAGCAACAGAGAACGAGACTTCTCTGTTAAGACGTTATATCCTCTCCATAAAACTCTCGCTGGACTGGGGCTGGGGATTTAGCTCAGTGGCAAAAGCGCCTGCCTGGCAAGCACAAGGTCGTGATTTCGGTTCCCGGTACCGGAGAAAAACCAAAAAAAACAAAAAAAAAAAAAAACAAAAAAAAAACCACAAAACTCTCGCTGGACTGAAATTCTTGCTGTAATCCCAAAAAATGCACCCTTCCTTTGTCACTATAACATAAAGAGATCAGTTTATCCAAAATTATTTCTATAGAGCGTGAATTTAAGAAGTATTTCAGCACAAATTTCAGATATGTACTCAGAGGATTACCGAAGTGGGACTTGATAAATTAATAGGGAATCTGGCCTTTCCTGTTCTGTATTTCAGTGGTTTCCTCATGTAGACTCTGTCTTGAATGGTGCTAATGACTTTGGCATATTTAAATTGTGAAGAATTGTATTAGTCTGTCATGTTTGTTCATATGAGAAAGAAAAGCATATGTAGTAATACTACATTTCAGGCAAAGGATAAGTGATTTTCCTAAAGAGTTTTAATAATCATAGCTATTCCAAATAGAGGAGGAGGAGGAGGAGGAGGAGGAGGAGGAAGTAGAAGAAGAAGAACAACAACAGCAGCAGCAGCAGCAACAGCAAGAACAAGAACAAGAAGAACAAGAACAAAAGCAGGAACAGGAACAAGATAAGAACAAGGAGAACAGGAACAAGAATAAAAACAGGAACAGGAACAAGAACAAGAACGGAAGAGGAACAAGAAGAGCAAGAGGAAGAGGAGGAAGAAGTAGAAGAAGGGGAAGACAAGGAAGAGGGAAAAGTAGAAGGAGAAGGAGAGGGAGAGGGAGAAGGAGGAAGAGAAGGAGAAAGAAGAGAAAGAGGAAGAATAAGGAGAAGGAGAAAAAGAAGGGAGAATGTAAACTAAAAATGTCAATTTCCCAAATTTACTTTTTTATTCCTAGGCACTCCCTACCTATGATGTTCTGGGAGAGATGGAATACCTGGACATGGTGGTGAATGAAACTCTCAGGTTATACCCAATTGTTAGCAGAACTCAGAGAGTCTGTAAAAAAGATGTTGAAGTTAATGGAGTGTTCATTTCTAAAGGAACAGTTGTGATGGTGCCAATATTTGTTCTTCACCATGATCCCAAATACTGGCAAAACAGTGAGGATTTTCGCCCTGAAAGGTACAAGATTCCTAGAAAGTACACCTACTTTAAGCCAAGCTGGCCAGAGCATGCTATGATGTCTCTTCCTAGAAGTGACATGTGATGATTCCAATGATTTACAAATAAGGAAATGTGTCTTTTTGATTTTAAAATTTAGCAAATTTATAAAGTGATATCTATGTGAAAACTGCTAAGACTTAAGGAAAAAAAATACACATCCACACTTCTCAAACCTTAAAATACAATTCTTACCTAAGATAAAGTATGTTAATATGGACATATTTGTGCACATAATTGTAATAAGTTGGAAGATATCACATTTTACATGTGTTTTCAACTGATGCTTACTTTACATACAGTAAACTATAAACTCCACTCTTTTAAGATTTGTGATATGTATATATCTTTCCTGTGTTGAATCTGTGCAGCTTTCATAGCTTAATAGGAAAAGGTCTTATTTCATGTTTATAGGCTATTATGATTTTTATATTTCTGGTGATGTTCATTTCAGGTCTCTGAGTTTATCACCAAATTCAAGAAGTGATTCTACCTTCCATTTGATAAAACATTGATTTCTGGTCCCTCTAGTGTGAGGATAAATGTTCAGCATGAGGGCCCGAGTAATCCTCCTCCATCCTGGTTCAACCACCTTCCCTAAGGACTGAGGAAAGAACAGGTCTGCCTGGGCCTGTCTCTGGCTGCGCTCCTCGTTAGGCTGCCTCACATTCTTTGTAGGTGGTGACTCCTCCAAAGCCAAGGCATCTGCCCTGTGCATTTGTGAGGGACTCTTCCTTGGAGGTGTCTTGCAAAGTCAGCATTTGGGTTCAGTTTACATTCTGGGAGTGGGTGATGTTTTCTCATATTTGTGATAGAAAGGAAAATAGAAATGAGGCTTTTACTGTGCTTGATGCTGTGTCAGGAAGCCTTGGACCTAGGATTACAATGCATTTTCTACTGTCAGGAACTTGTATTATTGCCAATGGTTTCCAAAGTGCTAACATTAAGACCACACATATTACTTGTGGGAGAGGTAAATTGTGCAGCTCAGCCCTCCATTTCACTGATATGAAGAGTGTTTTCTGCAGCCTCAGCACTTCTGACTGCCCTAATTTCAAGAAAATGAAATGCTTATAGAATATAATGGAAGTAGGCGCTGGGGATATAGCTCAGCAGTACAGCACCTGCCTAGCAAGTGCAAGGTCATGAGTTCTATTCCTGGTACAAACAAACAAACAAAAAAAGAATATAATGGAAGTGGAAAATTCCTTTAAATTATAATTCTCACAGTGAAATAAATACAGCAGGTTTTTAGTAACTAGACCACAGAACTACTGTGTACATCCCTGTTCTGGAGGTCTGTGTGAGAGCCCCAAACATGAAGCTCTGTGGTTTTTATGTCTCATTCCCTTGTTTTCATTTATTGTGGCAACAGGTTCAGTAAGAAGAACAAGGAAAACCTTGAGTCTTATGTATACATGCCCTTTGGGGCTGGACCCAGAAACTGCATTGGCATGAGGTTTGCACTTCTGAACATAAAACTTGCTATCACCAAAGTCCTGCAGAATTTCTCCTTACAACCATGTAAAGAAACAGAGGTGAGAATTAACTTTTTTGCAGAAATAGTCTTTTAAATAGGCTTTTTTAGTTTTTAAAGAGAATGAAAATAATTTTTAAAAACTCTTAGAAATGATACAGTATTTCAATAAACAAGATGATAGGGATTCAACAGTGGTTATTATATTGGGGGAAAGGAGAAAAGAAAGAAAGAAAGAAGGTTTTTTTCAAAAACATAGATGTCAAAAAACCACAAGTGTCTATACAGAAAATATATATTCCCGTATTTTGTTCAGTATGCAAGAAAGATCTACTTGGACTCCAGTGTGAGCTTTGAGATATTTCCATTCTGGAGGTGAAAATCATCATGCATAAAGCACAACAATAATAATCATATAGGCTCTATGTTGACTGGCATAGTGTGCTTATGTGTGCTCTTTAAAACTGAGCAAATTTTAAAATTTAGTTCATGCCAGGTGGAGATTGGCTATGCTGTCCAGAATCATGAGGTGCAATAATCACCTCATCATGATGTGTGAGTGGTGCTGTCTACTAACAGAACCTACAGAAGCTTCCTTGTAACAAGAGTTCTTAGCCATGGGGTGTACACTGGAATCACTGACAACACATGGACATCTTACTGACGACTTTTTAAAAAATGTCACCTAGGTCCTCTCAGACATTTAGAAATATTTCAACAAGAGAATGGATTTAAAATCTCTCCATTTGTTCTCATGTTGTACCCAGCTTGAGACTGACTGGTTTAAAACATTCTTGCTTGATATAAAAACCACACAGTGAACTCCTGACTATTGGACCTCACATTTCAGGGACTCTGCTACAGGCAAACTGGATGCTTTTTATGATAGCAAAAAAAGTGCATATTTATTCTCTTTTATTATTTTTGTTATTACATTTCCAGGTTTATCCAATCCATGACCTCCTCCATGCAGCCTTCTCCACCTTTTCCAGGACCTTTTACTCTTCCTTTCAGTTTTTATTTACTGTAGGCTGCTAGCATTACTCAACATGCTTTACGCTCCACTATCCAATCTGATTATCTTCTCTGTCATTAAGGATGTCACCATTCCTTTGTATGACATCTCCTGTTATTCCTTCCATATGTATCCAGTTTTACCTTTAAAAAGGAAGGCTCTGTCAATCACTATGTAAATGCTTAAATTTTTAAGTGAGTTGCGGTTATTTGAATTTATTAGTCAAAATTTTCAGCTATTTTATTTATAAATATTAACAAAGGACATTTATGTACCTCTGTTTATCTGTGTGTGTGTGTGTGTGTGTGTGTGTGTGTGTGTCTTTCTGTTTGTGTATGTAGGTTTTTGTTTCCTGTCTCTGGAGAAAATACATGCATGCCTATTGAAATTTTACAATAAAATTGTACATTTAGAGAAGTATTTGAAATATCTCCTTTGGAGAACTAAAATACAAGTTGTCTTTGACTCATATGAAGTAGTGGTTAGTTAAGATAATTTCTAATACTCCTGAATTTATGTCGCACTTCTCTCTCAGTGGGCTTTCTGCAACACATGGCAGGCACATAAAGAAAGTTATCATTCTTGAAAGTTATCTATCATACCACAAAGTGGTGTCTTTCTCGTACTTATTTTACCCTTCTCTGTGTATGAAGCATAGTTTTACTCTCTAGAAAGACCATGTTTGGCACACTTGGAATGGGTAGATCCTCCCTGGTAAACTCCCAATTACCTGGAGTTTGCGTAACACTATACTTATTCCTCCATGTAATATGATCAGAAGAGCATTTGGTTGCATGCTTACCCTTGATAAACTAATGATTGAGAGAGAATTGGGAGAAAAGTTTAGACAGATCATTGTAGGACTCAAAAGCTTCCCACTGCACTTCTCTTAGAAGCCAAGGGACAGATGTAAGACTTCAAAGTCATAATTCTCACTAAAATACTGTCTCCAAAATTAAATAAATGAATTCAATTGCGATGGCTGCCAAGAATATTTAGAGGAGTCCTAGGTCGTTGAAATGTATAATGTCAATTCAGGATTATCTTTCCAGTTTCAAAGACCAACACATTAACTTTTATGTCTTTAAGAATGTTTTACCTGATGTATAAGTAGCTGTCTTAAATTTAAAACTTTAAAATTTGCAGCAAGAAAAATAAAGACTAGGTAAATAATTTTGTCTTATGCCCAGTAGAGAATGGATGTTGATTTAGTACTGAGTGAATATTTTGATGAAAGCTTTCACTATCCCATTTTGACTCAGTTTAGAGACTAAGTGATTCAAGACATATGATTCTTAAATACTTTTTTTACTTTAAGCATTACTGTTGTTAGTGCATTCATTCTTTTCTTTTCTGGTTTTTGGAGTTACTGGTTGTTTCTCAATTCACTTCTTCACCTGTCACAGATCCCATTAAAATTGAGCAGAAAAAATCTTCTGCAACCAGAAAAACCCATTGTTCTGAAGGTTGTGTCAAGAAATGGAATCTGAAGAGGAGTCTCACTTTCCATCAGGACTTTGGCAATGTTCCTGAAGGATGCTGTGTTCTAAAATACCAATTAAATTTCTTTTGAGAAAGGAAAAAATCAGCAAATTCTTATCTTAATCCGCATCCTCGGAATGATTAGAAATTTAGTACATTCATGGAGCTTGCAAGGTGTCACATATTATCAGTTTTATAATGTAAAGAAAATATATCAATGTCACTTACTCAGATTCATTTTCTTTGATACTCCTAGGATTGTCTTCAACACCGGTTAGCTCAGTTTTCTAAAGTGTTGATTGAAACAAATATTTCTGAATTTTATCTTAAAATTTTAAATATAATGGAATAATGATGCTAATAGTCAAATTTATATAAAAAATTTTATAATACAATCACTGATTATGTGCGCCTGTTGTAGATTCCATTTAGATTACTTGGAAATATGGGATTTAATTATATTTGTAATCATTGCTTGCAAAGTATATTCAGAGTTTAATTACTTTGTTTAAAAATACATTTTTGTGAAACTCAGAGAGACACTTATGATATTGTTATTAGTTTTGATCTATTATCATTTTTCCTGATGCTCCTGGATGTCCAGAAAAATATTTTCATTACCTCTCTGTGTTCTTTCAGAACCCAATGCCTCAATGCAATTAAAATGAGTTATTGGTTAATTCATTTGGAGACAAGTCTAAATCAGGTTTATCTAGTATCAGAAGCTACAGAGTTTTCTTCTTTTTCTGTTTTGGCTCCTACCCTGCCTTTCCTAATTAATTCAGTACTAAAATCATTATATGTGGGACAGCAGGCTGTCCACACACTTGGGTAGGGGAGGGAGTCATGGTTGCTCCAACTCAGACTAAATTAGACAGAGAAGGTGACTGTAAGGGACAGCTTGAGATGGTTGTGGGAGGCTAAGCAATGTGGGGAAAAGTGCAAACCCTGGGGTGTCTGGCTACCAATAGCTATTCCCTAGAGTATAAATAACCCATGTGAGGTGAGGAATGCATGACTGAGATGACATGGGTGAAATGTGGCTGTGTAAAGGAAAACTGATCCAAAATTAAATATACCAAGGATAGGAGAATCCTGTTTTCTCACTGATTGGCAAAGGGAGTCACTGATTCAGAAAGTGAGACCACAACAATGAGCCTTGTATAGCTCAGATTAGGATGGATTGTTTTAGTATACACTCATGCTTTTCCAGATAGATACATGGTACCTAGATGTGAGTGTATGTGTCTGTGTAGGTAAGAAAACATATTCCTTACATCTCTCTAGCACAAGATTATACATGTGACATTCCAGATGTTATGAAGGCACTTAGTTCCCAGATCTTGCTGTATGAGTACCTTTTCCCAGTATAACAAGCAGATACAATCAAATTTATAGCTAATGTTTTTGTAAAATTCTACAATAAGTGCTCTCAGGACACTATGAAAACAATTGATACCAGGGCCCAGACTAAGAAATTCCATGATGAGTCTTCAATACCTTGTCATAGCAGAAATCAAGAAAATGATCAAAAAATGAGGATGTATTGAGGTAAAATTGAAGCGAGGCAGAAAAACCCCTCCATTCACCTAATAAGTTACATAGGGTTGACATTAAATGATTATATTAAAAGTTTATCACCCATACAATTAAGTAATACATGATCACAAGTACATAGTACTTAAAAATAGATTGGAAACTTGATAAATTTGTTTCCATACTTTTAATGGCTTGACTTGTGGTAGCCCCAGGATATTCTGTGACTGATGCTTTTGGATTACTGAGACTTCCATTTTGCCTTTGTGGGATCATACACTCTGGCAGAAGACAGTTGCCATGATGGGAGAACACTCAATGAGTCACATGGCAATAAATCATGACCCTTTACAATTACCTGTCCTGACTTATCAGGCACATAAGTGAGCTATACTTGAAGTGGATTGTTATTATTATCATTATTTTTTTATTTTAAAGAGAGTAGTAAATGAAAAACAAACAAAAAATAGAACATTAGCAGTATACAATATCACAAACAAACAAATGAAAGCAAGAACACTGAGTCTCTGTCCTCCATGTGCCTGGTGCAGACATCAGATCCTCTCTCAGAAGGCCCACAAACTGGTAACACCGGGGTTGACATTTGGACCCTCTTTGACATGCCCCTCTACCACCTGAGGTATAAGAGCAGGCGGTCCATGAACAGCTAGGGCCACAGTTCACATCTGGGATTTACTTGTGCACTGACCCCCTGGAGGTCACAGACACAGGTGGTCCATGTTCACCACCAATGCAGTGCACATCTGGCTCCTGTACACGCCATGAGCTGCCTGGAGACACAGAATCAGGTGATTCACAAACTGTTCACCCTGCAATACGTGTCTGGGTCCTGCCTGCACCCTGAACTGCCTGTGGATACAGGACACTGGCCAATGATTGCACCACCAGTGCAGCCCACTTCTAGGTCATACACATGTACTGATCTACCAGGAGACACTGGATCAGAGTTTGCCATCAGCTGACATCGTAGTTCATGTCTGAGACCTGGGAGAACTAGGTACACTTCATCATCTGCTGGAAGACCCCAGACAAAAGAGTACATCTCAGTGGACACTGAGGGGCATGCCTGACCAACAGGAAAACTAGGGACACTACAACATTTGCTGAGCTGCCAGGGAAGAGGGAGACTGAGCATTCAACCACCAGCATTAGTCATGAAAAGATGAACGACAAAAATGCAATCTCAGAACTCCACTCCACTCAGAACAAATCCAGGAGACATTAACATAGGAGAACTTGCTAAACACACACCTGAATTTGCTACAATGATTGCAGTGGAAGTAAAGAAACAACTCCATCAGGCCGTAGAAGAGATCAGATCAGAAATAATCTCTCAGGCAAAAAATGAAATGACAATAATAATGAAAGAATTGATCACCACATCTAGAGAAGAAATATATAAAGAAATGCATGAACGTTGGCAGCAGATGGAAACATTAAAAGTACAATTTAGGAATGAACTGGAATGTATGAAACAGATTCTAAGAGACATCCAGGAAACCAAAATTTTCCATTGAAAGCTAGCATAATTGCTTGAATGAAGGCAAATGTAGAATCTCAGATCATGAAGGCAGCATGGCAGCTAGTGATTGTGAAAGAAAGGATCTCTTAAAATCAACAAGGAACCAGGAAAAATCAATTCAAGAGTTGTAAGAAGAGGCAAAGAGGAACAATACAAGACTAGTAGGAGTCAATGAAATAGCAGGAGGTAACACAAATGACATAAAAAGAATATTTGCAGAAATAATAGCAGAAAATTTATGAAGCATGGAAACAGAATCTGCTATACAGGTAAATGAGGGTTATAGAACTCCAACTAGTCAAAGCCAAAATAAAACCACACCCAGACATATAATAATCAAGATCCCAGATCTCCAGCAAAAGAACAGAATACTAAAAGCTGCTACAGAAAACAAACAGATCACCTATAAAGGAAACACCATCAAAATCACATATTTTTCCACACAAACCATGCAAACCAGAAGAGCTTGGAGTGAAGTATTACAGGTCTTGAGACAAAAAGCTTCAAACAAAGGCCGGTGTATCCTGCCAGAATATCCTTCAAATTCAAGAGAGAAAATATTTCTATGACAAAGAACAACAGAAGAACTTCATGAGTGCCAAACCATTGTTGCAAAGAGAACTGAAGGATATGCTGTACAGAGAAAAAAGAGACTACAATTTCAAGAACAACAATACAAAGAAACCTTAAAGCAGAGCAAGCAATTAAAATAGGTAGAAAAAGTAGGAAACCAACACCAAGTAAATAACATGACAATGAGAAGTCAACGCATATAAGTTAATCATAAATGTAAATGGCCTCAATTCACCACTCAAAAGAAACAGACTGGGAGAATGGATTAAGAAACAAAATTCCACAATATGCTGTATACAGGAAACAAATTTTACTCAAAGGAAATCCATAGACTGAAAGTCAAGGAATGGAAAACAATTCTCCATGAAACCGCAACCCAGAAAATGCAGATATAGCTATTATGTTTTTAGACAATGTAAACTTCAAGTCAAGTACAATCAAAAGAGATAAAGAAGGTCACTACATACTTGTTAGGGGAAAACTGCAACAGGAAGAGATAACAATCATAAACATGTATGCAATAAATACCAGAGCATGAAACTATGGACATCTTCACAGACTTGAAAAACCAAATAATGACTAACACTATTGTAACAGGGGACTTCAACACCCTATGACACAAAGAGATAGGTTCACGAGACAAAAAATTAGGAAAGAAAGAACAGATCTGAACAAAATCTGCAAAAAAATGGACTTAGTATATGTACACATACTGTTCCAACCCACAACATCACAATACACATTTTTCTCAGGTGCACATAGGACTTGCTCTAAAATAGACCACATTCCAGCCCATAGAGAAAACCTACCTCAATGTAAAAGAATCGAAATTATCCCATGCATATTATCTGACCACAGTGAAATTGGAAATTCATGAGAAAAGGAACTCCAAAACTCCATAAACACTTGGAAATTAAACAACAACCTCCTGAACAGCCAATGGGTCACAGAAGAAATTAAAAAATACCTACAAACAAATGAAAATGTAAATACAACATACTGGAATCTGTGGGATGCAGTGAAAGCAGTCCTCAGAAGGAGAATTATACCAGTGAACTCATACATAAGGAAAACAGAAAAAGAAGAAATAAATACCCTAATGCTCCTTAAACTTTTACAAAAAGAACAAGTCAAGCCCAAGCCAAAAGAAGGCAGGAGATTATAAAGATCACGGCAGAAATTCATGTAATTGAGATGAAGAAAATCCTACAAAAAAAATGAATCAAAGAGTTGGTTCTTTGAAAGAATAAAGAATGATAAATACCTATACAACCTTATCAAAAAAGAAAGAACTCAAATTCATGCAATAATGAATGAAAAGGATGAAATTACTGCAGATCCCACAGAACTTCAGAA